CATAAATCATTGAGCAAACCATTGGAAAAAAAAGGGTTCAGATTAAAGAAATCAGTTTCAACATAATCATACTTTTCTCAAGCAAAGAAGTCCCAATTTAAAGGCATGCAACAAGGAGAGGCCATTCTGAATGAATTTTCTCTGAAAAATCAATCAATGACCAAAGAATCAAAGAGGCAAGATAAACTCTCTCGAGGTAGATCGGAGGGACCAAGTCAAAGAATATTTAATGAGAGGTCAAGAAAGTAACCAGGCATGGATAAATGCATAAATATCGCATGTTCCGATCAAAGAGTATGAGAGATTCTCAATGCCAGGATCGAACTGAACATAACCCTTTAAACATGCATTTAGATCATTCTTAGAGCATATTGATAACATGAAATCATGGCATATGACCATTTTTACAGGATCTTCAAGATTTATTTCATTATTGAAGCAATGAATCAGTCAACATCAACTGACCAGACTTCCTCATCACGTAGGAGCCGTGTCAACCTTAGATAATCAGCCGTCCTCATCACGTAGGAACCGAGTTATCACCTTTCCTAAAGATGGCCAGAGTTCTTCATCATGTATGAACCATGTCATCTACCCTTAGACGAACAGACGTCCTCATCACGTAGGAACCGAGTTATCACCTTTCCTAAAGATGTCCAAGAACTCTTCATCACGTATGAGTCGTGTCATCCCCGACCAGATCTCCTCATCACGTAGGAGCCGTGTCAACCATAGATAACCAGTCGTCCTCATCACGTAGGAACCGAGTTATCACCCTTCCAAAAGATGGCCAGAAACTCTTCATCACGTATGAGTCGTGTCATCCACCCTTAGACGACCGGACCTCTTCATCATGTATGAGCAGTGTCGTCCCCAACAACCAGCATTATCCAATTTCTATGGAAAAGGGGAGAACCAGACAAAAACGTGTTGTCTTGTCGTCTTTGCCCTATTCTTGTTAACACAAGTATGTGCAAAGAGGGGCAGCTGTAGACACCCGTTTTTGTCCGGGTCTTTTATATTTATTTTATTATTATTATTATTATTATTATTATTATTATTATTATTATTATTATTTACAATATACATATTTTTTGCAGGCCTAATTCCAGGCCCGCTCAGTAACCCAAACATAGATTAGGGTTTACCCTAATCATCAGCAGCCGCCCCGACAGATGAAATGCCACGCCGAGGCCACTGTTCCGGCGCATTCCCGACGATCCAGCCATCGTTCCCACGCCGCAATCATCATCTATAGTGAAAAACCTGTAGAACGTCAACCCAAATATCATCTACAGTACCCAACAATAACCAAATCAGAAACCCCATACCTAAAATCTCAAAATTTCACCCTCAAATCAAGAACCCATTAAAAACTAAGATTAAATCCCAATTCTTCGAGATTTAACAGATTAAACAAATCAGAAAAAGCCATGCCCTACACTAGGTATCATCATCTCACCAAATACTCAACATAAAGGAAAGGAACCAAAACGAAAAAACAACAGAGAATAGAGAAAAAAAAAGAGAGATACGAAACAAAAAAAAAAGAGAAGAAAGAAAAGTTTTACCTTCTCGAACCACCACCGTGAATCTCGTTGTGACCTTCTCCGATCCCAGCTAGCCCCATATCTGAAGGTAAAGCCTTTTCCTCTTCTAGGTTAGTTAGGGTTGGAGTGTAGTGGGTTTTGGGGTTATGATTCACTTAGGTTTTTTAGGTGAGAGAGAGATGAGGTTACTCCCTATGGCCACCGATCTACGGTGGCCGGGGAGTTTAGGGTTTAAATCCTCGGTTGAGGATGAGAGAAGGAAGGCGAAGAGGAGGGTCGAGAACCATTTTGGCTCTCTGTCTCTGGAAGGAGAGGGAAGACGGAAGGGTTTAGGGTTCTCTAGGGTTTTCGCCGCCGATTTACGGCGTTTGTGACCTCTGTTTTTTTTCTCCACGGCGGAGAGAGGCGGAGGATAAGGGAGAGAGGTGGAGAGCCTCTTTGGTTCTCTGTTTTCTAGAGAGAGGAGGAGACGTGAGAAATGAGAGGTGTCACTGGGGAAGGGCTTGGGTTTAGCCTTATAGACCGAGTCCGAAACGGCGCCGTTTAGGTCGAGGACTCGGTTGTAATTTCGTCATGGGTAAACTGCGTAGAAGGGGCTCCCAGGTTTTGAACGTTTATGATATAGCCATTTCTTGTATTTTATTTATTTTGTACTTTATACCTCAAGTTTGTAATGTTTATGTATTGGCCACCTTGCAATAATATTCTGTAAGTTTCAACATTTGTACTATGTGTTTATAATGTTCACATTTTGCTCACTGTTTTTCTGTTTGGCTTAAATACCGAATTTGCATTGTATGTTTCATTTGTTTTATTTTAGTCATTTGTCTATAACATAGGAAAGTATTAATTTACGTATTTAAAAACTAAGTTTTTTATACGATTTATAGTCACTGTGTAAATCTTGTATGGGTTATTTACTTGCTTGGTTATGGTCATTTTGTTTAGGTTTATTTAGATACTTTTGCTAAATATATGTATAATTTATTTTTACTTATGTTATTGTTTTTACTTATTTATTTTATTTATTTTAATATTTGTGTTTAGTATGAATTAATATTAGGAAATATTTATATAGATATATGTATATTGGTTAATAATCATTATTATTTATATTATTGTGTGATATGGTTAAGCTTGCTTATGTTATAGACGTTCATTTTACTTAATAGGTATAATAAAATTTTATTTCATTTTTTATTACTTTTATTTATTATTTTTATAACGTTCAATATGTTAATGTATTTTCTAATAATTAACTATATAGGTTTTAGATGAACAGAGTATGATTTACTTTATACTCATCTCGATATAATTTGGTGTTAATTCAAAGATAGAATATACTTTATAGATGAAAAATAGACGAGATAGCTTTCCCGATGGAGGATTGCAAATCTCGGGATTTCTCACCAAGTTAAGTATTTCTATTATTTCAAGTAATATTCAATAAATAAATTATAATTGATTTATCATTCCTTTTTTATAATTTTTATTGTATTAATGGTTGTTATGTTAATATTAACGATACATGTTTTAGATAAATTAAGCATATTTTATTTTCTACTCATGTCGATATTATTTAGTGGTAATTCAAAGATGGAATATACTTTATAGATAAGAAATAGATGAGATAGCTTTCCCGTTGGAGGATTGCAAATCTTGAGATTTCTTACCAAGTGAAGTATTTCTATTATTTTAACAAATATTCAATAAATAGATCATATTTTTACTTCTGCTTCAAATTTTAAGTTCCACCATTTACGACGATATATAAGTGACTAAGTACCGATTTTGGGCGTTGTGAGGGGTGTTTACCCTTCCCTATACGTAACCGACTCCCGAACCTGTTTTAAATGAATCTTTGGTAACGTAGACCGAATGTTTGTCTTATAAAACTATTTTTCTTAAAATTGTTTTTAAAAGACGTTTTTAGGTATTTGACCTACCTAACCCAAAGGTCGATGGCGACTCTTTTCAACTTTATTCAAATCAATACAAATTTTCCAATTTTTCCAAATTAAAGTCATAATTGTTTTAAAAAAATAAATATTTAATTGTTTAAAAAAATGGTTACGACACAATGCGGGGCTTTTTATATGGATGGACCTGCGCAAACTAGTCAAAGAGAAGACATTCGAAGCGGAAATGGACCTGTGGCGGGTGATCATCAATGAAGTTAAGCTCAACGTTTCGCCGGGCTTTTCGTTCCATTGCGACTAACCGGGTTGGTTCAGGGTTTGCTTTGCTAACATGGACGACAGCACCATGGAAGTTGCTTTGTCGAGGATTCGAGGCCATGGTTCCAGTACGTAAATTATGCAGGCGAGGCAACCTTAAACTCAGCCCGTCTCGAAGAATGGATGATTTGATGTCACCCAGCATCATATCTCCACACTCTCCTTTAACTCAATCGCCACTGGTTCGAGCCAGGACTTGAAGAAAAAAACCCAACAAAGTCGAATTTTTTACCATGGAAATACTAACCTTCTGATAAGGAACTCCATGGATTCACGTTATCATTTTCTGTATCTTCAATAACTGTATTTTTAGTCTTTCCTTCACATGCAAAAGTGTATATGTGAGGGAAGATCAATGCTCCTGCAGATGTATTGTGTTTATTTGGACACTGTAACAAAATAAGTTGTTAATGGTGAAACCACTCCATGTGGAAAATAAAGGATTATTACTTTGAGTTTCTCTTTCTTCTAGCGAGTTGGTTGCAGATTTCACCCCTGAAATAACAAAATTTGTCAAACAAGAGCCACTCCATCTCACCAACTACTGCTCAGGTTTCAAAAATTGGCACACGCTCATCCAGATTATATATATATATATATAATACTTATCTCCTCGTAATTTCAAATTATTAAAAGAAGATAATAGGATGGAAATATTCTACTACAAAATAAGTACGTTAGTACTGGTTATTAATAAAAATATTTATTATATTGTGAAAAAACCCTTATTTTAAAATGGATTTTGTCCTAAGCATTGTAATGGTCAGATAGACTGTCTCCCAAAATGAACACAGAAATTTTAATATTCATACACTTGAATTTATGTATTTATTATAATTTATGCAGTTATTTGAAAGCATCCAAGATCCCATAACGACCAAAGTTGTGAAAGGTTAAGCCCAGGGAGGAAAGGAATTGTAGTTTTAGAGACTTGCATCAGGTATCACCTCCATTAAGTCTACAAACTAGAATTTCTAATTCTGAAACTAATAAACCCTGCGTCACAGACAATTAGTGATCCTTTCATTTAAACTAAACCACCATTATGTTGTATTAATTACTGGGATTGGTTGATTTATGTTGCAAACCAGATAAGATTCTGTTAATATATTCGATCCTTTAGAAATTCTATTACATACAGTGCTTTAGAGACCGACATTACATTACCAATCCTCGTATTTATCAAACTATGGATATGTAAGAATATGAAAATTTAGAAGATCACACAAGCACAGGGATACTCTTCTGCGGCCACAACACGGTAATATGGAGTGTAGTAAGGATAGTAGCCGTAGGCCTTCACGGAGTCGGCTGTGCATTCCGTTTTGTTGTCGGCTTTCTTCTCTTCTTTGGCTGGTCCGACTGATAACATCTCGATGTACCATTGTTTCCTCAGCTTCTTCGCCACCACCACCGGGTCTACGTCTCCGATCACCGTTAACTTCTTATCCTTCATGTCCATCGCTATCGAATCTATGCCTGGTAGACCCGATATCGCCTTCATCGCTTTCTGCTTCTGCTTGTCATCGTGTAAATCCAACTTCAACACGACTTTCTGCATCAAAGACCAAAGAAAAAAACAAGTTGATTGTCATGTCGGAGGCAACAAAATATCCCTGTTCTGTCCTATTTCAATGTTGAGATCAGAAATGAAGGCAATAAACAAAACATGCTAAGAAAATGGGATTATGAGAGACTAAAAGCAGGAAAGTTCACCTTCATTGCTGCTGGAACACAAGCTCTGACCCAGACTAAGGCTTGGACAAAACAATAATATTTTAGACTACAGCGCAAGCAAATTGTAAGAGAGTGGAGGGCTCAATTTATAAACAAATACAAAACGAGTGTCCGAAGAAAAATTGGTGCCCAACTTGTACAACTCTGACCATTTCCTTCTCCAAGTAGGCACATAATATGGGCAAAACTTACCTATTTTAATATTCATCGCCTCATTTTGTACAAAATACTTGCATATGAAACTAAAACAAAATGTTGGTAGCATATTATATATAGGGATTATTTAAGATAAAGTACGTGTTTAGTACCTAAATTATCAATTTTGATCTGTTTTAGTAACTAAACTTTCAATTTTTTCAAAATCATACCTAAAGTTTAGTTTTTTGTTTCATTTTAAGTATCCACCATTAAAAATTAGTTTTTGTTTTATTTTAGTACCTCGTTCAAAATTTAACGTCAGTTTAAAAAAACCTGAAAGTTTGGGTATTAAAACATATCAAAACTGATAGTTTAGGTACTAAACGTGTTAAGTTTTTAACAGTGGGTACTAAAATGAAATGAAAACTAAACTTTGAGTATGGTTTTGAAAAAATTGAAAATTTAAATACTAAAACGACCAAAACTTATAGTCTAGATACTAAATGCGTAATTTATCCTACCATTTAATACGTTATTGGTGAAATGTTTTAATTTCAGGAGTAATATTTAGATATTATTATATGTCTTAATCTTTAAGTTTTAAACTCTAAATCATAAATACTCATGTCACATATCATTCGTTTACTCTTGTTTGCCAAGTTTTTTAATTTCACTAGTTATATACAAAATAATTTCCTTTATATATATAATAAAACTAGTTTTTATGCATCGATTTATTTATCTTTCGTTTTCCTTGAAGTAGAAGGAAAAAAAGTACGCCTGTAAGCAAACCGAACGAACACGAACGGGGTATATTTAAGTTCGTTCATTTAACTTTTACCAAACAAATGAACGAATACGAACATAAACGAACAAAGTTTTTTTTGTTCATGTTCATTCGTTAAGGAATGTAGCTTGTTCGTGTTCGTTCATGTTCGATCATTTAAATGATAAACAAACACAAATGAACAAACATAAACGAACGGATGTAAACGAACATAAATGAACACAATAAAAGAACGTTAACGAACACAAACGAACGTAAAAGAACACAATAAATGAACATAAATGAAAATAGATTTTTTTTTCTTTCCTAACAATTTTAGGATTATATTTTATTTAATTGTTTTGAGCTTTTTTTATTTGTATTTAAATTAATTGAATTTTAAAATATTTATGGGTATCAGACTAAAATTTATTAGCCTTTAATATTTTAAATGGGTCTAGAGAGATTGGGTTAAACATAAATAAACGCATATAAACGAACATAAATGAACATAAATGAATGAACATAAACGAACATATTACCGAACGTTCACGAACGTAAATGAACGAACAAGCCATCTGTTAATGTTCGATTATTTAATTAAATGAACACAAAATCTTGTTTATGTTCATTTTTTTAATAAATAAACGAACATAAAGAACTTCACGTCGAACAGTTCACTGAAAGTTCGATTTGTTTACCTGCATAGAGAAAAGCATGTTTAACTATTTCTTATATTTATTATAGTCATAAATAATATTTTTGTATTTATCATCAAGAAAAGAACCTGCAATTCTCTTATTATAATTGCATGATATGAATGTATAAAGTATTCATATTTTAGTATAAAAATTGCAGTAAATGTTTGAACCATTTGTTTTGACCTTAAAAAGTTGACACCACTTGACATGTAAAATTAAAAAAAAAGTATAAAATAAATGCGAAATGTGAAATTATTATAAAAAAAACCCAATTTTACTTTATTATATAAAATATGGTACCAAAGTTTTTGGTTAGTTTCATATGCAAGTATCAAGTATATTTCTTAAAAAAAATCATAAAACCTGCAAATACTATTATCATATACATACATCATGCATCATACATCAATATCACTACCTACTTTAGAAAGATTCGTACAACATGATAACAAAGAGTATACAAGAATATGGGACAAATTAAGGAATTTTGACTTATTTAAAGAAACTGAAAAACTAGAGAAGCTCATATGTCGTGTGGAGAAGGGACACCGACCCAACAATTAACCATTCATAGTTAAAGTTGGAACCTTTGAGCAAATATATTTAGTTATATGCTACCAAAGCTTAATATTTTTTTTAATAAAATTAACCATTCATTTAATTACGTAGATCGGATTTTAATTTCGTTGATATTATGATTGTTGTAACAACTTGTAAATAGTAAGTTCAAACATGTTTAATTTTTAAATTATATCTTTTTTAATGTAGGAATTTTTTTAAAATTTGAGGCAAGTATAAGGTAGTATCTATTGAAAGATAATTCTCAACTTGACACTTATACTTCTGACATTCCTGGTGCTCGAAGCTGGGGACCTCGAGGAATAAATAAGAATATCTTATATTACATTTCAAAGGAAGACTTACTCGGAATTAGGTTTTTTGTGTCTTGTGACATGTCTCTTCTCTACTTTTGTGGTAGGTGTCTCTAAGTTTGATCTCAATTTTATCAGTACTTTTGTTTACTATGATGTTATTACAATTTCACTTAATTACAGGGGTTGTTTAAGGATTGAAGTAAATGTTAAACTATTAAAGCGCAAGAGAAATTTGGCTTTATCAAGTGGACGCTTTGCATATGCTATATCTTAATATGAGAGTTAAAGATATCTTATTTTCTTTGCGACAAGTTAGGATATGGCGAGGGATTACGTCCGATGTATATTTTTAATTTTCTGACTGCCGGAGGTCTTTCACGGAAGCTATTCTCAACCTGGCGTTGGGGGCAGCCTACTACCCTACCTCCCCCTTACCCCATACATATGGGAATTGGGTTTTGTTGTTGTTGTTGTTGTTGTTGTATATTTATCAAAACAAGTAGGATCTAGTTATATACTGGGATGCCCATGAGAGACTCCACTAAAAGGAAATGATTTTCTTTCTAAACATTTTGGGGGTATACACGTCTCTTTATTAATAAATAATCAATAAACAATTAATGTCTAAAGATATGGTTTGTGGCTCTTAAATTAAGATAGTAGGCCACGTCGTTAGGCCCATCAGACTGAGCTTTTATTAATCATATGAATTCGGTGACGTTAGCCCATCACTTCGTCGATGAGAGCTACCTTACTACTATAACAAGATGAGCTACCTTGTTTTTTATAACTCTCATCTCTTATTCTTTTTCTTTCTTTGTAATTTAGTAGTTTGGAGTAATTATAAGATCGAAAATTTTCAGAATTTTTTAATCAATTAACATTGCATACACACCTTACAGACGCAGTTGCTCAAATCTAAATTTTTTTGGAAGAACAATATTCCTTTTTACCACCGAGTTTGTTTAAACAATAATTGAATGAATTGATGTTATTTATAATTTATTGTTAATAAGTTATGTCACTTGATAATTATACATATTTTTTGGTTTAAAGTTTCATCTATTCAATGATACATATTCAACAATTATCTTCACGAAAAGGTCAAGTCCTTTCATTGAAAGGTCTTAACTCTTCGATTCATTTTCTACGAATATATATAGGCTAGTTGAGACGCAAATCTTAAACACAATTTAGAACTTTGGAATAAGAAAACACTTATAAAATTCCTTCTAAACTCATTCATTACGTAATAAAGAAAGGCAAGATTGTGTTCGATTGATCACTATTGTTGTGCATATTATTGTTATTGTTTGTTATTGTATCTTGGAAGACTGGAGTCCAAAGTTACTCAAAACATCGAGGAGAAGACAAATTTATCTTAAGGAAACTATTCATACAAACCTCAACAAGAAATTATTCTTCTATTTTATTTACTCTATTTATTCGATTATATTTACATACGAGTAGAGAATTTTGTTTCTCTATTTTAATTTTATATTTATTTTACTTCATTTGATCGATAAATATTATTCATTTATTATTATTATTATTATTTTATCTCGAATTAACATTTTATCTAATAGAGAACAATTGATAAGTTCTAACAACTCACGTACATTTCTAGCATCTCATCATCTCATCTTCTCATCTTTTGGTGTTGTACCTAAATAATTATGATCAAACTTATATAAAAAAAAAAAGCACGTTTAAACCACATGACCAATACGACCACATAGTTAATATTGTGGTTTATATATGATTACAGTTATATTTTTGTTACATTGTTTTTATCCCGATTATAGATATAACGAATGTTATTAAGAGTATCATAGTCGTATTTTTTCTAAAGTTTGCATAACTTATTGCAAAATATAAAAATTTTAATTATTAAGACGAACTGTTAAATTTTTAAAAAAAAATTTATTGTACTGGAACAATAACATGAATTACATATCCTTTTTATTACTATTGATCATTACATGTTAAATTATGACTACAATTCATCGTAATTAATGTGATTCCACTTTACATCATAAATTTTGATAAAAGAATAACACTATCTCCTCTATATAACGACTACTATTCCTTATTCCAGCCTCTATTTTAATCATTTTTTCTTCCATAACCTCGACCTGGATATCTACCACCACTTGAATTACCCTTGGAAAAATTACTTCAATTAGCAGATACTGGCATGGAAAATAGAACCTCTTTAATTTAGTTTACTAAGGTCCATTTATGCATGAACTAACTTATTTCGATAGTTAAAAGAATCGTTGATGTTCTTAAATGTCACTTGTCCGAGCATCAGTAGTTATAATAGGGTAATTAACGCTTATTATCAAATGGTTGAGAATATTTAGAACATATACTATTTTATAATCACCTTAACTTAATAAAAAAATTCATCTCCATGCAAAGTTTTCCTAAAAACTCAACTAAATAATCCAATCTTTCACAAACGGTATTTAACGATTTAATCCAATTATATATTTTATTCAA